ATAAGGAAATTTTAGCATTTGGTAGAAAAACACAAATAAATATTTTCAGTTCTGTTTCCATGACAACTATTTTATGAGCATGGATGGCACCAGTACATGTATGCTACCAATTTCTAAACTTTCAGCCAATTTGAAGTTCAACTTTTGAAGTTATAGATGAAATCATTTTCTCAATTTCTGACAACAGATTCTATGATGTCATACTTTACCCATAATCCTTTGCTTGAAAATCAAGATGGCTGACTACGTAATACTGATGAAAAATGGAATATCTAGAGAATGAAAAGTGATACAACAAAACTGTAAATTGCATTCTCCTACATTTGTGGAGCTTTTTCTTTAGGGGTCATTATGTTGTTTGGATTGAGGTTCCCTTTAACGTGTACTTGGGATAGGGACCTGTATGCGAGGCACGACCAAAAGCAGACTAATATTCACCTTGTACATTTTTTTATCAAATAAATAGCTATCACGCCGTCGGGTGTAGTGAATGTTTGAAAAATTAAAATGATGGTCAAAAGAATTATTACACATTTGACATTTTAAAATGTTGTAAACTTAATGTCGTTTAACATTTTTGAAATGCACGTTTTCCATTTCTGAGACCGGCCTTTAGGCGGGAAAAGGCGTGCACGTATTGCATTTTTGAAAATTTTACATTTCCGAAATGCACGTTTGGCAATTTTGAAACCCGACATTGGGCTGTGAAAGGCGTGTATGTTTGGCAGTTTAGGCATTTTAGACATTTTTTGTTCAAATATTCTGCAGTGCGTATTATTGTAATGGTATTTACACTATTTTTGTTTAGGTTTGTAATCTTTTTGTCCCTTTTTTACGCTTTTATTTGTTTATTCTGTTTCTTTTCATTATTTTGTTTATAAATGTCCATTTCAGAGTCTAAAACAATGCAAGTTGTTTTTAAATAATGTATGTTGTATATTTTCGTGTTTATCGTCACCACCCCGTTGTCTATTACGAAATTCAACATATTTTTTATTCCCGGCATTGTCACGCTTATGAATTATAAAAACATCTTTGCAGCTTGCGACACGTAGTGAGCCGAACCCATCAAGAAAGAATTCAGTATGTCCAATCCGTTGGTACGCCGGATCAAACCCGACTGCTCGAACTGACTGGGTCTTTGCCATAAAAAAATTAGTAACCACATCGACCACCATACACCTAGGATAACCCTCCAACTTTCTGTGGTAGGTACCGTCTCGTCGCATACAGTCCCCATCCTCGTCCCCGGGATCTAATTCCATCGTCTTATAAAAACGGTTGCGAATAAATTTATTTCCGGCCTCGTCCTCGAAAAAAGCGCCCACAACGTCTAATTTCGTGTTGGTATCTTCAAGTTTTTCCAGAAAATTCTCAAGCTTTGTGTTTTCTGTAAATATGTAGTCGTCATCGACCCATACGAAATACTTTGTAGTCAGTTGGCTGAGAAGTAGATTTCTTCCGGCAAACCATCCTTCGGCAAACGGCATGATGTATTGCTTTACGTTTGGCGCGTCAATTGTCCGCGGATGTTCGGAGTCATCTGCTACAAGAACTGTCATACCAGGATAGTACACATTTAGGCTTTCTATTAGAGTTTCAAGACAATTATAACGCTCAAACGTCTTTGTGATAATGGTAACTTTTTTAGTTATATCATCGTTGCGTTTTATATTATATATTCTTGGACGTAGATGGCGTTTGACTTCAACATTGATATTTAGATTGTAATTGAAAAACTTAACTTCCAGCACATCGCGCGCATGAATATCATAAATTGTACTTTTGTAGAGCAGATGTTGGAGCAGATTATTAACTGTTGTTGTATCTGAGATGGTCTGTATCACTAAATTGTGTGTTCCGTTGCCAGAAAAACTCGCTGAATTATACGGGGACTCTACTAAAATCACACCTAACTGATTTGATGAAGTCAGCGATATTTCGTAGTTGTTTTCCCCAGTAACAGTATCGTGCAGTGATAGACCGACTATCCGTACAGTTTTCAGTGGTTCAACTGTGATTCCGCCGCCCACGTAACTTAACGGTGACATGCCTCGACATAAGCTCAGTGGCTCCTCTGTCAGCAGTTGCTCACTTTTCCATTTTGACATCTCCCGAGTCCGCCGGTGTAATAAATGGTCATCCAATGGGCCGAAGAACACCCCGTGTGTGTTCAGAGTCATACAGGAACAAGAGTCACCTTGCATTGACATCTTTGCCCGATATCTGGATACCTGCTCCGTAAGCTCCTCGTTGTATGGCAACAGTTGCCAAGGAAACGCGGCGTGATCGTCATTGCTGATGGGCTGTTCATTGGATTCTCCATGAACTGAGATAACTGCAACCACAGTTAGTCCACAGAGACATATGAGGCTAACTAGATGATGTTTCTCTGCCATTTTAAGTCTTGCAAAAACGTTTCTCATGAATACATTATGACAACTTCAATAGTTTCTCAGGCATCTCTGTTAGAAAATCAGATGAAAACACATTTATTATATTAAATAATGTCCCATGTCCCTGAAATCAAACTGTCTCTTGTTAGTAACATCATATTTATAGCAAACACGAGATACTATACAGTTGAGCCAACACGTGGTTGGATGCCCTGAGTCATTTCCAGAATTCAGTTGGGGTTACGTTCCTTCATTAAGAGTTTTTTCAGGAAGACAGAAGTTGACTTGACTCCACCTGGTGATGTGTCAAGAATATACCGTCTGTATTGTTAATTTGCATATTTTCCGTTGATTCAAATAAATTATGCCACGGCTGCTCCTATTACTACCGGATATATATGTATATGTTAGAGATCAAGGCAGACGTTTATATACAATGCATTTTACTCACTTACCTCGACTGTGTTCTAACGTAAGTACGTAGAAGTAAAATCAACCGTTCGACGAACAGACAACTTAACCAGACAAGGCCAATACAATGTGTTAGGGTTAATAATTAGTAAAAAAAAAAAAAAACTAGACTGGAAGTACGCCATCTATCGGTGGAAAAAAAACCGCTGTCCTGAAAACCATGCCCGACTTAAATCAATAAAAATTGCGCACTGTAACCAAATGTTTATTATTTAACCCTGGTTTTCTCACATTTGCATTTTCAGATAGACGTCATATTATTTATTCCCAGTATACCATTCTATGACGACAATCTAACCCTTATACGGAAAGTTCTTATCATATGTGTAAATTAATCAGTCCCATATAAAGGCTACTTATCTATAAAATACATTTTCTTCAACTACTTGGGTGGTCGTTATAACGCAATGCTTTATATCATAACGCGTTATTATTGATATTCCATAGTATTTTTTTGTGTGTATTAATTTCATTTAAAAAAAAAAAAATTCCCACGACCCCGTAAATTGTTCGACATTCATTTCGTGGGTCTGTGAAATAAGCATTCACATTGACAATATAAAATCTCATTCAACGCAGACGAATTACGTCATTGTAGTTTTTAAATGACAGACCTATCAGCAACAAACACAACACCGAACAAATAATGAACATTCTCAGTGGCCGGCGGATCCAGCAAAATGTATTGGAGGGGGCCAAGCTACGCTTAAAATTACGGAGCGTAAATCGCAGAGAAG